TTTGAGAGAAGACGAACGAACGGTCAAACTATCAGGTTGACATTTAAGGGATAATGTATTGTATATTCATAGTTAACTTATTACACTGATTTTTTTGTTTTGTTTACCTAAAATAATATATAAATACGGGGATATGAAATATTGAATTGAGATAATGTTTTGAAATCTTACCTGTTTATAAATCCATTATGAACAGTGTACAAAACAATCGTCAGGACAATATGATCACTACAGCAAAATTATAGTAGTATTAATACTAAATTCCTCTGATTTCATTTTCAATACAATCAAAAACTGAGACGCAAGCTGCATTTGAATGAAACGAGAGAGCGCGTCTGCGGTGATAGAAGAGACATGCGGCGAACAGAAGTGAGCATCCCTATTTCTCAGCCATGCTGTAAATGCTGTAAAAACAATACAAAAGACTATGCCATCATTACAAAAAATATTTATTCACAATTTGTCACATTGAGGCCCCTTAAACCAGTTAAACTCTGCGGACCCGGATACGGGTCCAAATCGTGTAAAAAAAATTTATGCTTAATTTACATAGCCTTCCTTATATACATCTCAATCAATACGACTGCCCTGCACTTCCAGCGGACTTCCAGAAGATGACAGTAAAACCCACAGTAAAACTACTGTAAAAACTGCACATTGTAAAGATTCAGCCTCAGAATGAACTTCTTTAGGACAAACTCAGCCATTTCTACCCTCAAAACTCAACGTTTTACACAGAAATAAATGACTAGTAGTTTAAAATCACATTCACTCACATGAGATGAAGACTCACTCATATCATTGAAAGCGGTTTTATTTCATGCGGAGCAGGTCAAACATTGAGATCACAAGCCAGATGAATAACAGTCACTTTATACTAGTTTATCAGAGACATTCAGCTACAGAAAGATCAGCGTGACAGGTCAGATTTCACATGATAAAGCAGAAACATCGCTGTAGATATCTCATTATTTTTAGTTAATTCATCTTTCTAGATCTCACTGTGTAATGGCTATGGTGTTTGGTCTGATCTTCTCCAGTTTCTCCTTCACGCTCTCGTACTCTTTCTGCCACTCTTCTGTGGACAGAGATGAAGGACTGATCTCCAGGAATGTGTAGGCCTGACTCGACTGAACGCTGAAGATCTTGTTGGCATTTATGCAGCAAATGCCAAACTTTATCCATCCCTGTTCAAATCAAGTTTAACATCAGAGGTCAAACACTTCAGGAACAAGATGTTCAGAGAGGTCAAACATCATTATCATCATGGTTCACCTCTTTAGCTGCATCAATGGACTCCAGGAAAGGTTCCTTCATATCAGCGAGCTCCTCGATACAGGCCTCTCCAGCGAAGGTCTCTTTCTTCATCGTGTCCAGCAGGGATCCCACTTTCTCCCAGAACTTCTGGAGCTCAACCAGAATTTGCTGGATTCTGGACAGGCACGCCTGGACCTCATCAAAGTGAGAAACGTTGTTGAATCTGACCTCTGAAACCGGATAGAGAAGCAAATGAGCAAACCCAGAATCCACACGAGGAATATTTGTTCAGTATGAACGAGAAAACACTGTTGGATCTCACCGTTTTCCATCTTTAATTTGGCCAGCTGCAGCTGTTTGTCCATCAGCTCGTTCTGAATGTCCCACTCTTCTTTTTTCAGATGTTGCTGTTCACTGGTGAGCGAAGATAATGCAGTAATAATGCAAATAAAATCATCTATTAACATGAAAACTATGGATATTTTTCATACTTTCATTGTCACTAAAACACATTTAACTATTGTGTCACAGAAAAAAAATGACACAGTCCTTGAAGGGTTAGTTTACCTGAAAATGAAAATTAGGCTGTGTTTTACTCAACCCAGAGGCATCCTAGGTGTATATGACTTTCTTCTTTCAGACGAATCCAGTCGGAGTTATATTAAAAATAGTCCTAGCTATTCCAAGCTCTATCAGTGTTGCAGTTGAACAGTCCACAAGTCGTCAAATAAAGCTCACACATTCATAATAAAACGTGCCGCAGACGGCTCCGGCAAATACTCTTTGTTTTAGATGTATTCAGTATCAACTTGTTTTCTAAAATCCACTTTTCTATACTCTCCAACTCCTCATTCAAAATAGCCGTCAATTCAACCGACGTTTGTGCAGATGCATAAACTGTTGCATCGTCTGCATACCCTGTTAATTTAGCACTTCTTAATACCAGATATAAATCATTTGTAAAAATGTAATACGAAAGTGGTCCTAAACAGCTCCCTTGTGGAACTCCACATTCAATTTCCATTCTATCCGTATAACTTCCGTTAAAAAAAACTCTCTGTGATCTATTATCCAAATAACTTTCCATCCAAGCAATGGTCTAATTCTATAACTCTCCAATTTTTCCAAAAGAAGCTTGTGATCAATAAGGTCAAATGCAGCTGTAAAATCTAATAAGACTGCTCCACATATCTTTTTTTATTTTTTATCCAAGTCTCGATACCAATCGTCTGTCATTTGTGCTAAAGCTGTACATGTGGAGTGTCCTTTTCTAAAAGCATGCTGATAATTTGATATCAGATTATTCTGTGATGCATAATCTTGTATTTGATCAAATACTGCCTTCTCAAGGATCTTACTTAACACTGGTAACACACTCACCGGGCGGCTATTGGATTTGTCTATCTGCGTGGAGCGAACAGCTCTTCTCTATCATCTCTCTTACCTGTGTCTGGGAGGCTTCCCAAAGCTGGAGCGTCTGATCAGAGAACGAGCTCTGGACACACAACTGCTGTTTGGATCCTCTGAAGCTGTTCTGCTGAAGGTCAGGCCGAATTCATCACGTTCTGCTTTACAAATCGTAAGAATCCTGTCCTTATTTAATCACATCTGTTCAAGACATACAAGTGGCCATGAACTTGACAGATGTGGTGAATTGGAACAACATTACAAGTATTTATATACACAGGTGCATCTAAAGAAAAATTAGAATATTGTGAAAAAGTTCAAAAAGTGAAACTTTCATATATTCTAGATTCATGTCAAGTAAACCATTTCAAACGTTTATTTGTTTATTTAGATGATTAGAGCTTACAGCTCATGAATGTCAAAAATCCAGTATCTCAAAATATTAGAATATTTCCTAAGATCAATAAAAAAAAAAAAGTATTTGCAAAACAGAAAAGTTCAAGTTCTTTAAAGAGCACTCAGTACTTGGTCAGGGCTCCTTTAGCACAAACTCCAGCATCAGTGAGGTGTGGCATGAAGTGGTTTTGGCGCTGTGGGCAGGTGCTAAAGTCCTGCTGGAAAAGGAAATCAGCACCTCCATAAAGCTTGTCAGCAGATGGAAGCATAAAGTGCTCCAAAATCTCCTGCTAGATGACTGCATTGACTTTAGACTTGATAAAACACAATGGAGCAACTCCAGCAGACGTCACGGCTCCACAAATCATCTCTGACTTCAAAAACTTCACCCTGGACTTCAAGCAGCTTGGATTCTGTGCCTCTCCAGTCTTCCCCCAGACCTTGATTTCCAAATGAAATGCTAAATTAACTTTTATCTGAAACGAGGACTTCTGGAGCACTGAGCAACAGTCCAGTTCTTTTTCTCTTTAGCCCAGGTGAGATGCTTCTGACGCTGTTTCTCTTTCAGAAGTTTTCCTGAAGACGTCTGAGCGTGGTGACTCTCGATGCACTGACTCCAGCTTCAGTCCACTCCTTGTGAAGCTCTCCCAAGTGTTTGAATCGGCTTTGCTTGACAGTATGCTCAAACTTGTGGTCATTCCTGTTGCTTGTGCACCTTTTCCTACCCATTTTCTTCCTTCCAGTCAACTTTGCATTTAATATGCTTTGATACAGCACTCTGTGAACAGCTGTTCTTTCAGTAATGAGCTTCTGAGACTTACTCTCTTTGTGGAGGGTGTCAATGATTGTCTTCTGGACCATTGCCAAGTCAGCAGTCTTCCTCATTATTGTGGTTTCAAAGAACAAGAGATACCTGGAATTTATACTGTAGGGATAGTCATTTAACGAAACTCAAATGTAAATATTCTAATATTTTGAGATACTGGATTTTTGACTTTCATGAGCTGTAAGCTCTAATCATCAAAATTAAAACAAACAAAAAAACTTTTGAAATGTTTTACTTTACGTGTAATGAATCTAGAATATATGAAAGTTTCTCTTTTTGAAATAAGTTACAAAAAAAATTAACTTTTTCACGATTTTGAGATGCACCTGTATATATATATATAAAATAAATACTTACAAATCCCATAAAATCAAGTCAAAACTGAAGTCTTATTTGTTTGCCATAGCTTTTAATCGATGATGCAGTGTTATGTTATTTGTTTTATGGTCTGATATTTGTCATATTTTTATTGTTTTTTATGCTATGTAAAGCACATTGGTTAATAGTAGTTGTTTTAATATAGTGACATTGTTATTGACATAAAAATCCAGTTTAAAAGCTTTTGACATCATGTGAACCGTTGCTTAATCTTTTCTAATTCACCGACACATATGAAAACTTATTTCCACCACAGAATAAAAATGTACGTAATTGCAACTCCCAATTGCTTGTTTCAATGTAGTTGAGTTTATGTAGCACACTTCTGACTTTCTTTTCTTCAGAATTTGCAAGTGCATGCAGTCAATAATGGAAATTCCTTAAGAGTGGGAAGTTTAGTATTTCACATCAAACAGTCTTTTTCTTAATCAGCATTTCTAAATATCTAAACAACACGATACAGTAAGCAAAACTGCATAAAATAAGTTTTTACTTGTTTTAATCATAAACTTGTTTTTCTTAATCTCTTATATAAATTTACTCGAGATGCATAAAGGTCTCGTTTTATGGATTTTTAGACTATTTTACTGGAAAACAAGCACAAATCTGGACTGCCTAAAAGTTGTTAACAAACACAATGAAATGAAACCGCACTCACGTCTTATACACAATGATGTACTGCAGTACTATATCTCACACAATCACCGTACAATCATTTATCTGAAACGCACCCTAGGTATGATCAACAAAACCGAAGTGTGGCGACGTGCACCAGTGATGGGATTCAAGAGCAGAAAGAGACCAAAGAAAAAATAACGAGCAACACTAAGGAGATGGAGAGTCTGAAGGAGGCCGTGGACAAGCTTGAAGAGGAGCTGAGGGAACACAACAGAAATATGGAGGAATTAGAGAGAAAAATTGAAGACAAAAACCGCGAGCTACAGAATCACATCACAAATTCCAGCAAAAACCACTTCGGTATCCTGAGGGCCTTGGTGCCGTTTTTTGCAGTCGTTCAAGATGCGATAACCACCCCTGCGATCGCTGCTAAAACTCAATCTCTCAACGCCGACCTGTCCCGTCTCAACTCGGAGAAGAGCAGTCTGCAAAGCAAACAGTGGATGATTCAAGTCAGACTGACTGATCTTCAGCTGAAGTTGGCCACTTCCAAAATACAGCTGGGTGAGAGACTTTCTATGCTCTTAAATTCACATTTCAGCAGCTAAAAATTGTTTAAAGTCAGTTATTTCTATCTTTTGCTGTAGTGTGTTGATAGGAAATATCAGTTTACATTTGCAAACATTCATTTAGCTATTAATTGTAATAATGCAGTGAGATTTGTGTGCTCCACACAGAGAAGCTTTCTAATAATGTATGTCTGAAGGCACACATTGATTTCTCTGATCTGCTGTTGTTTGTCCAGGTGTGATTCCCAGTCCTGTCCACCTGGAGGACGTCCAGCAGTGTCTTTCTCGAATCCAGCAGATTCTGGTTCAGCTTCGGAAATTCTGGGTGAAAGTGCAAACTCTGCTGGACACTCTGAAGGAGAAGACCTTTGTTAATGAGGATCTCACTGAGGACCTGGATGACATGAAGGAGGAGTTTCTGACCTCCATTGAAGCAGCAGGAAAGGTGATATAGATGTTGAGCAAACGATTCTGGTGGAAGTCGATATTCTCTTAGTTGAGATTATCCTATACAGTTTCAACACCTATATGTGTCCCTGGAGCACAAAAGCAGTGTTGAGTCGCTGGGGGATATTTGTAGCAATAGCCAACAATACATTGTATGGGTCACAATTATACATTTCTCTTTTATGCCAAAAATCATTAGGATATTAAGTAAAGATCATGTTCCATGAAGATATTTAGTAAATGTCCTACCGTAAATATATCAAAACTTAATGTTTGATTAGTAATATGCATTGCTAAGAACTTCATTTGAACAACTTTAAAGATGATTTTCTCAATATTTAGATTTTTTTGCACCCTCAGATTCCAGATTTTCAAATAGTTGTATCTCAGCCAAATATTGTCCGATCCTAACAAACCATACATCAATGGAAGCTTATTTATTCAGCTTTCAGATGATGCATACATCTCAATTTCGAAAAATTGACCCTTATGACTGGTTTTGTGCTCCAGGGTCACATATAGTTTTCATAATGCGCTCTGATTAATAATGCACAACTGATGCACACTTAATGACTCTTTATTGGTCAGAATTTATAGATGAATAAATAAATGTACACGTGTGAGTGTGTTATCTTGTTTTTAACCACCATGAACAAATATGAAAAAAACTAATATAATAAAAAAAATATTATTTCCAAGATAAAGTATGTATATGTGTCAGAGTTATTCGTGTGATGTCTTCAGAGTATTTACAGCAGCATTTATAATCACTCCTTCCTCGTATAATGAACTGTGTGTGACGTTCATCATGAGCTTGTCAGTGTATTTTAGTAAATGTGTTGTGCTTGAATCTTTCAGTACTGGCAGAGATTTGGTGAATGCTGTCAGAGAGCACAAGGCATCTTCAGTGTTCAGTCTAAGGATGCATACAAGTTCCTGGAGACGAATCCTTCCTCACTTTCGAAGGATGAATGGGAAAAGCAGCGCAAGTCTATCATGGAGCGACTGAATGAGATCAGCCCGCAGGGGTCGTCTAAAGTCACCATCACTGAGTGACGCACAGAGAGACATGATTCAAGAATGAACGAATTCATCACTTTTTACAATGAGATTTACTAATGCATAGATTCTCTAATAATGTCTAATGTCTTTACTGTTCTTGAACTAGTTACAATTCTTCGTGAATTACGTCAAATCTGGTTAAAATCACTCTGTGGTATATAATGTAAGATCTATGTGGTCTGGCCACACTGCAGAAAAAGAATTAATTCATAAACAAACAGACAAATGGAAAATGTACAGGTGAGCTATCCATTAATTTTACGGACATTTCTGTTCACCCTAAAACACAAGGCAATGAAGTGCAAAATTTAAAATACAGGCAAAACACTGGTTAAAGAAAAAAATAATTCCTAAAGTACATTGCGTCTTATTTTCATGGATTTGTTTGACGGTGTACGTCACACAATAAAGACTTGCATTGTAGCGTAATCATGTAAAAAGATTTGTCTGATGAGTTTCACTGTATTGGAAATTACAATCAAGGGTTTAAAAATAGAATTTGTCATTTTGGTAGCTTTTATTATTATTATTAGATTTAAAAAAAAAAATGTTTTTATGAAAAATAAAATAAAATATTTTCTGTCCAGAAGAGGGCAGCAGAGACTGATTAACACCAAGAACTTTAAACCATGTATATTAACCACAGACTGTATAAAAACAGATATTAACCATATACGGTCTGTGATATTAACAGAGCTTTGAAAATGTGATTTTGAGAACAAGCGCTGTGTCATTCCTTAGCCTTTTCTATGAACAGGTTTGTGTTTCTACAATAGCGTCTATCTGACTGATCAAGAGCAGGCTTTTTCTTTTTCTTAATATGAAGAAAGACAAAAGACACACACAAAACAATCAAAAATACTGGGAAATCGTTCGTTTTCATGTAAAGTTATTCAACTAAAGTTAAAAATATGTAAATGTTCATTTATTTGTGATAGTATGGTATATATTTATATAATTAGAATTTGAGTTGATGATCTAGTATCAGTGGTGTATAATATATATATATATATATATATATTTGAATTTTTTTTATAATAATAGTTGATGATCCAATATCAGTGGTGTATACATTTTTGCAATGTCCTTTCGTTTTGCACTTTTCAATTCTAAAAACTGTCAATCGCATGTGAATGTGTTTAATCCAGCGTCTCATGATTGACAACCGCAGTCATCCAATCACATGCGCACTTCTAGAACCATTGCGTCCCACTCAGCCAATCGCTGTGCGATTAACAGCGACGCGTCCCGCCTCCCAGGCCGAGCTCAGCCAATCCGGTGCGCTCATTCTTGCATAATTAACGCAGGCTAGCGGTGGGCAGTGACGCAGAGTCTGAGACTTTGCTTGTAATTTATCAAATACATTCGCATCTTTCGGCGGAACGGAGTTAATACGTTTCCCGCGTTCAATCTTCACGACTTTGAATCGCAACACCGGATCAAATCCATGTGATTTCGTTTGTTCCAGACCAGACGCGCCTCTTGCATGTGGATGTTGATGTGATCGGGAATAAATGAAGATGCCGCAGCCGAAATCGCGAAAGATCGCCGTCCTGGGCTACAGATCCGTCGGTGAGTGTCGCTTGCATCAGCTTCTGATATTTCCAGCATGCATGAGATTCCTCAATGTCACCCCGTGCGCGTGCTGCATCCTCGTTAGCGCATGCATTGAAGCACGAGCCGAAGTATGCATGCTTTGTGACACACAAGATCCTAAAACACACCCTGCATCCTCATGCATATCCCCACACTTGTCTTTAGGATGTGAATGCTGTTCTGCAGATGCACGCAGGCCTCAGCCAGTGTCAGTGTGTTTATTCTGACTGTGTGCATGCGTTATGTTTCATGCAGTGTGTGTTCATATCTTGTGTCAGCATCTCACAGAGGCCTGTATTCATTTAGAGGAGCTTTGTCTTATTTCTGAGGTTTTCAATCTTTTAAATCCCACAGGCCTCAAATATGAGCATCCTCATGTGAGGGACCCTCAATTTATATACTGTATATTTTCATGTATAAAGACCTGATTTAGACTGGTATACTGTCTATACACTATATAGTGCATATTATACCAGTATAATACTATATTTAGAAAAAATATAGTTTCTGTTTGTACTAAAAATTTTAAATTAAATTTTTTTAAATAGCTAAATAATATTGTTTATTGTTTACTTGCTGTATTTTAATTGTAATAATACAAATTAATTATTAAATTATTTATTTTAATATTTTATTAATTTTTAAATTTTTACAGTCCCCCCCCCCCCCCCCCACCTTTTTTTAAGGC